GTTATAAGTACCGGACCGAGCCCTTCGGGGGATCTTCAACGGCAGCAACCCAACCTCGTTTTGGGCAAGCTTGATGCAAGTGGCCCATCGTTCCTCAAACAGTTGTAACAGCGAATTGTATCATTAACTGGAGCTGCCGTAGCTCCATCAGTAGTAGTCAAGAAACCAATGCGGGATTTGTTAGGCTTAACTGTCTCAACAGTTTGATACAAATTTCAATATAATATATATATATACATATTATGTAGTAGGTATGCACTTACTGATAATTTTTATCGATAAATCAAATATATCGATACAATTAGTTTTTTTCGATAAAGATATTTATTAATATATATATTTTTTTTTTTTTGTGACTTTGGAATCCTTCCCTTCCGAAGGTGCTGATGGCAGGGCTTGATTGCTACCCTTACAGTGCCAGATTATTCACGGGTGTGTTGTATTTTGCAGAAATCGATGTGATTTATATTGGTTGAGTTTGGAATTTCGTTGTCCTTAGCAGCTGTGGTAGGGTGGAGGTAGTCGTTGACAAGGAGAAATGTATAATTTTATGAGCATTCTTAATCGATAACGATAGATTAGACAAAATAATATGAGATGTATTAGTGTACATTTGAGTGAATGTTTATGATTGTTGTACATTTTAATGTTGTTCATTGATTGACATGTATATATATGAGAGTAAATGATATTTACATTGATTACATAAAATTGTATTCTTTAATTTTATTTATTTTTTATTTTTTTTGGCACAGCCTATTTTAAGTCATGACTAGTACATTGTTATATATTATATGGGTACTTCTTAAAAATAGATCACATTGTTATGAATGCTAATTTTTAGTTTTCTGAAAACATCTAGTATGATTATTATTACATGGATGGGTGCTTTTGGCTACATATATATATGTATCTAAGCGATTTTTACAATGGTTAGACACATTTAGGGGATTCACAAGACGTGTTAACCGTCGTAAAATCTTAAGCTTAACACTTGTTTATGTAAAATAGCGGTTAAAATGGTTGGGGGGTTGGCTAATT